CTTTGCAACCACTAAATTAAAATAAACTAAAAAAAATTGGTAATAGAATTAAATTAATATTCTTGCGCGGTGTTCTGTGTGGCAAACCCGGCATTGAGTAATTTTAGCCTTTTGTACAGAAACTAAATAGTCTAATTCGTGTTCCGCTTTATCACTTTCGTGTATTTTAAGGAGGGGTGTACCTTTAGACTTCTAAATGCATTGTAAATAGGGTTCACCAATATATTTGTGATCGTTACCACTTGAAGGAGTACAACAATGGGAGAAATTACTTCATTTTTTAACAATTGAGTTTTTAAAAGTAACCGTGTTCTCAAATTATTTTGTAGTCAGGTTAGGTCATGCCAGGTAGAATTTCCTGCCGCTAAGTTCCGCAGTCTCAGTCAATGTTACATGCTGACAAATTATCGTTTGAGTCGAATTATTTTACGGCTGTGTGGTTAGTTATGTCGTGCATATATTTCGTAACGTATCACAAGTCATTTAAGCAAACACCCAGATATGAAATGGACCCCAGCCTCTAAGTTTTCCACAACATAATTTTAGTATAAAATTTTTAGATCCATAAACCCAGAAGCTATTGTAAAGCGAAATCAAAGCATTTGCAGGAATAGAAAGACGAAAAAATTATCGAGCATTTTTGAAACTTCTGTTATTTGTGCAAACTATTTATAGAGAAGAGCTACTGACGTCAATTTTAAAATACATGGGAAGCTGTTATCTACCAGTAGTGAAATGTGGGGTGATTACGCAAGCCATTTCATGTCAATATTGTTTTCAGAGTTTTACACCCTGTAATATTGCGGTTGTGAATTGTTTTTAATAAAGGTGAGAATTATTTCGTCGATGTTGTCGTTTATTAGTTCCCGCCCAGATCGAAGCCTTCCCACTACAACTTCTGTCCAGAGTCTCTTTGGTTCATCACGCTCTGTTACCACAACTGCTATTTTTGTCATTCCCCTACACATTCCACCGCCTAGTTTATCTTAAAATCAGATCTCGAGAAGCTCACGAAGCTCAAAAACCAGCTCTTAAATTTTCTTTCCACTTCCGCCGGAAATAAGCGAAAAAAAAAAAGAATCATTATTATTAGCTCATTCAAGAGACCGGTCACATGCAATGGTATTCGATAATAAAAACGTTTAACAAAACGAAGGGCTTGTCGTTGTACACATTAGATCTGGATGTCATGAATTTCCTTTTGGGTATGTGAATCCCACACGGATGGTATCTTACTAATGAATAACGAGTTTTTCTTCAATGTGTTCGGGGCAACAATGTAGGCTCCTGATAAATCCGACAGTAAAAGTAAGTAAAGTAAAACTTTTCAACATTTAGCCGCCGGGTTAGCCTTCGTGATAGTGCTAGTAACACTGATATAACGAATATTAAACTTGATCGAGGTCCTTAAAGAGTTCCACTCCTAATTTTATTTTTATTTATTTATTTATTTATTTATTTATTTATATATATATATACTTTTTGATATCTCACCAATGTATTGTAAGTTACATTTCTTACACGAAGCCAAATAAATGACATTTTTTGAATCACAGGAAAGTTTTTTTGATTCAAAAAATGTCATTTATTGGGCTTCGTGTAAGAAATGTAACNTTTTTTTTTTTACGGTGTTTATTCATGGTGCATTTCTCCTTTGCGTGGGACCTCCTCGGATTTTTTTTCTCTTTGGATTCATTGAAGAACGCCGTCTGATTATTGAGTTCAATTGGAGCCTAGGGAGCATAGGCCCGGCCGTACACACTACACCGGATCAATTTAAAAACTCAACAATCACCGGTCGTTTTATATTTTTGTACATTTCATAGCCGTCCTCTGCAAGACAACAACGCAAAATTACCGCGAACGCGAACGATAAGTCGAACTGCTAATTTTTCCTATTTCCATTTAAAATTGAACGCTGGCATCACATATTTTGCCTGAGCGAGGTTTTAGAGCCATAGGTATCCTGGATAAATTCAATTTTACAAGGCGTTTTCTTCGGCGTCGCCGTCGTCATTGTTAAGATCCCTACACCTGTCTGTCATCCTTAGTGGCTGTTTTGTGCTTTGCTCGTGTTTTAACCCATGACCAATGGAACGCAGACGAGAGTATCGTGTCAAAACCGTAAAAATTTACATAAATTGCAGTTCTTTGCCAAGTTCTTTTTAATTCAGCGATTAAGTTGTCGAGCGTTTCGGTACTGAGGAAATTTTTCCCTCCTACTACTTCGCCGATGCAATACCTTTTCATCTTCCCCACTACTACACGGCAATCGTTTGCATCTTCTGCGATCTTCAGTATAGCTTAAGGCTTTGAACACTTAAAGGCCATCGTCATCAATAACGTCCTTGAACATGGCGAGTTGATACTCGGGGCTTTCCCGCTCCAAATAAAGTAATTTTTACAGTATTTCTCTTTCCATAGCTTCCAGTTCTCGGGGATCTCGCTACTTAATTGACCTCAAATCTAAATGTTGCGGAGACAATGATATCTGGTGGAATAACATTGAAAATTGTGATGCGTTCATAAGGCGGCGAGGCACCGGAAGTCGTTTTCGCTCGTAGGCATTCGTGGACGGTACGCGTTGTCGACGAATTTCAACTACCCTTTCGCTGCTAACATGTAATGTAAGATGGCAGAGAGAACCTTAAACGAACCTCATCAGTCAAGGCTTAATCTGGCTACTGTAACTCAAGATACACAAGGTGAACGCGTATTTCAATATATAACTGTGTGTATAGCATAAATTACAAAGCCGTTACAGAACATAAGCGTGCATGAAAAGAATGTTTGGCAAATTAGCATATAGCCTTAATCAAGGTATGTCCGCCATTTTGAATAATCAAATCCAGCCGGTGTCAGAAACTCGTTTGCCCAGTTTGGCTATCACGTCAGTGCTTTCTCATTGGCTCACAGCCTAGCCTTTTGTTCTTTCGCTTTAAAAGTGCGACACCACCCGGATGGTTGGGCGGCCAGTTAACTCCACCGCAATATACACATCTCTCTTAATCTCTCTTAAAACAATACCTCCTGCATATATAATCAAGTATTCTTCCTCAACCATCCCCCTAAATTTTCCCCCAATATCCCCTCACAGCCTTCATTTTATTATTCCCCCAAAATATTCCTGCTCAGCTTACATCTCATGAATTCCCCACATATACCTACACAGCCTACATCTCATTAATCCCCTACATATACCTACACAGCTACATCTCATTAATCCCCTACACATACCTACACAGCCTAAATCTCATTAATCTCCGACATGTGCCTACACAGCATACATCTCATTAATACCCCACATATACCTACACAACATACACCTCATTAATCCCCTACATATATCTACACAGCCTACGTCTCATTTATCTCCCACACGTTCCTACACAGCATACATCTCATTAATATCCCACATATACCTACACAGCATACATCTCATTAGTCCCCTACATATGCCTACACAGCCTACATCTCATTATCCGCCACATATGCCCACACAGCTATTATCGTATTAATTCCCAACATATACCTACACAGCCCACATCTCATGAATCCCTCACATTTACCTTCACAGTTTGTATTTCATTAAATCGTTTTTAGAGTCATTACTCAGTTCAGTGGTTATCAACTCATGTAGAACCAAGTGGTCTTAAGATATCTTGGAACAAGTAGATTATCCGTTCACTTAATTGCCTTGCGTTCAGCCGTTCGAACGGATACCGTAAGGAACGTTTTCGCGTGAGAGGTCACATATTTGCCGATGCCGCTGTTTTTGTGGTTGAATCGGCAGAGTTCTTCTTTTAACGATGCTTTTAGGGTCGAGAAAGTAAAATTGGCGATGTACTTACTTCTTTTTTACATGACTCGTGATCGATGAAAATTCTCCGTAATGCGTGATTTAATAGAAAAATTCAGTGTGATGCGTGATTGGTGCCCCACCTTTGTCACCCTCAACGGGATGTCCTATGAGAGTTTTTTAATGTACACAAGTAAAATTCATAGCACCTACTAGGAAAGTGTTTTGCTGCATCAAAATATTTCATGGAGATTTCTGTGCGTCAAACAATAGAGCATACAATAATATCAATGAAAAAATCTCGAGTAAAGCATGCACTCAGTGGTAATCATGTAATGTTATTTTCTAAAAAATGTATGGGTCTTTCAAATGAAATTCATTGAATAGTTTTCATGAAGTTGACTCTTGAAGTCTTTTGTGATATCACTAAAAACCCCAATGAAACACTGTACATCTGTTTTCGGGAGCTTGAAATTTGTCGCTCCGTTTTAAATGCACAACGTGTCTTATTCTTAGTTTACGGAGCCAAGGCCTGCCAACTGAAGGTGTCGGTGCTCGTTAACCAAGATAGGCACGCAAGGCGTGGTCGGACGGTTTGGTGACAACATTGGTACTGTACTACGATGGGAAGAAAATTTTGTGAAGACCACAAATTTCTAAGGAAACATCTTTTCCGTCCGTGCACACCGTCTCGTCTCCTCCCCCCCGCCGCCCGGCCCCGGAGTCCCTGAAAAAAGGCTTTGAAGTTTTACAGAGAGATATAATGACAAAATCCAATCTAAGATTTCTTTTCCAAAGATTTAAAATGTTTACAGTTGCCCAACTTTCCACAACGGTCACGGCTACTTTTGTAACTCCACTACACATTTAACCACCTCTTAACGACCAGTTCGCCATAACAGAAGGTCAAAAACCACCTCTTCAATTTTATTTCCACTTACGCCAGAAATAGGCGACAAAAAAGCGCCACTCATTTTAAGAACCGAGCACGCCCAGGGCTGCGTGGTTAATAAGTTTGGCGTAAAACGAAAACGGCACCAAAACTGGCGAAAGGAAAGACATCACTACAGGGAAAAAACATTCTG